TTTTAAAATACCAATTTCCCGGACCCTCTTATTACGGCCGCCATTTTCAATTTTAACTTTTTTGAGGGATATTCCGGGGTCGGGCCATTTTTAACTTTTAGGAAGTTGTTCAGGGGGACCTACTGATGACGATTACATAGGGAAAGTTTGTTACGCAATTTTTCCCGGTCAAACCGCTTTTTCCCCCTACTATTATAGCACGATCCTGCTTCTCGAGCCGTACACTTTTTGGAGGATTGTGCAAAATAGTTGGAACTTTTTTTGAAACTGAGGAAGTTCTGATGACATTTGCATCCTCAACACTTGCCTACAGTTCATTTATACCCTCTTTCGACTTATTTTCGTGAAAAATGAGTCTTTTAAACCTCTACTTAGTAGGACCTCGGAAATTCTGAGGACCAAAAAAATAAATACAGAGTTGAGTTTTTCTGGTTCAATTTGATTTTTATCGGTTACAAAGACGTTCTCCTAGTGTAAAATTTCATCCTCTACAAGTCGAGTGCTTTGACATTTTTCTCGTAAACGCACGATTTCAGCGTAAAATCGAGTTTTTTGTACGAAATCGAGGTCTAAACCAAAATATCATAATTTCATCACAAAATTGACCTTTGGCACCATTTAAAATGGTTGAAATTGGCCCAAATTTTGGCAAACATGTTTTTTTACCAAACGTCATCGATTGCCGCCTGGGGAGTGGAACATTTCAGACTTTCATTTTTTTTGACGCACCCTAACCTCCCCCCCCTCCCCCGAATTAAAACAAACATTCAAATTTTTTCTAAGCAGGCAAAGTTTTAACTCGCGCAAGTAGGGCTTGTCTTTCCAGCTCAATAAAAATTATATTACTAGCTATCCTAGCCTCTGAGCTACTACACAATTCTCCATTCTTTCAGGGCAGCCTAAAAAACTTTTTTCAATGAGGCTTGGTATTGTGGTTGACTGGCTTTTTTGACCTCTCCTACTATCTCATGCATTTTGTAATTATCAATCACTGGTTCATTCATTAAAAATTAAGATTGATACTCAGTCAAACTTTTAATCAACCACCATTTTTTCCTCTCTCTTTACCTGGTTCTGTTTCATAGCTCTATGTTGCTCTATTTCTCTACCTATTTTAACAAGATGCATGATAGATATTTTTCATGAGTCAGTCCTCTTCTGTCATTTGTCCTTATGTTCGTTCTTCAATTTTACTGTGAAACATTATCTCAACAAAATATCCCCAAAATTGACAGCACTTTAGGAACTCAGAGCCAATAAGTATATGACTATCGCGTTTTTGGCTATTTTCCCATAAAGTTCATCCCTATCAGCAGATGGCAGCAGATTTCTTTAACGAAGGCTTAAAAAAAGTTGTACTCATACCCTAGGGGCGCACATTGTTCCAAAGTGCTGACTGTCTCTTGCAACCAGGTATTTTACCTCACAGTCAGATATCCAATTTTTCAAACCCCCCCCCCCCCCCGTCTTTTAGCGCAATATTTACCTCAAGTTTGTTTTGCCTGCATTCACTAATCGAGAAATTAGAAAATTTTCCACCCCAGAAAGCTCAAAAAAAACCCACAGAATGGAGTGGAAAAATTTGATGAAAAATTTTGCAACCAAGACAGTCTTGAAAATTTATCAGCACTGAGCACCGGAAACACTTTTACCACAGAACAAAAGGATTATTTCATGCTGAATCCATTTATCCTTTCACTATCACAGCAGGTTGATTATTGATTCGAGATTAATTATTTATTTGAATAACCCTCATTGATAAATTACACCGAAAGTTATCGCTATATCGATTGGGGCTGTTTGATAAAGAACTGTTAAGTTTCCATAATCAACCTGCAGGCCCGGAAAGTCACTTTCTACGCACTGGTTGCTGTTGTACAATCTGTATCAAGGTAAGCATTTATTCTAATCTATGCTTGTTTGCTCTTACTCGGAAGTTCAATCATTCAAACGCAGCGCAGATATCTTGACTGGCTGTTTTTATGTCGGACGTCCGATTTTAATTTTTAGCAGTGGCTGAGTTTTGTTTCTTCGGATCATATTTCAACCGATGAAAAAAGCTGCACAGATGAAGTCAAAATTGAACTTGCTGGTCCAATAAATTATAGTTAATGCCTGCCACAGCTATAATCCATCTGATCCACTGAAGCACCCTTTGTGAGAGGTAGATCCAAAATTTTGGATGTGCTCATCATCACAGCTGAGATGAAAAATTAAATCAAATGTTAAGTGTGGCTTGGTGTAATCTTATTTTCCCATAATGTTGATTGACATCTGATTCAAAATTGAACCTCATCCACTCGTGAAAGGAACCCTTAACGTGCATTGGTTTCCTCCCATTTTTATGCCCCGAACCCTTTTTCCACAAAAAAAGATAGATCAGTGAGTAAACTCTTAGAAATAGTCGGATGAGATGTCAGTCGGCTCTGTAGTCTTTGCTCCAGTCGTCTAATGAAATTCAAGCATCTTCAAAATTTTCTTTCAATTTTAACTGTTTTTGAAATGAAAGATATTTTAAGCGCAAGTTATGAAGCATTTAAAACAAAAAAATCCCTCTTCACCCCTCAAGTTCCTGACTTCTCGAACTTTAATTTTTACTTTTGTCTTTGTATCTGATCAATTGGATTTCATTTTGCAATTAGAAACTACATTTACTGACTCATTTGTAAAAACTTTTTTGTGCATCGGAAAATTAATGGTACTTACGTTGTTTGTAAACTGAGCCAGAGGTTGTATATCCTAATTGCAAAATGTAATCCGACTGTGCTCCTTTCTTGCTCTTCTTTCCCTGTTTTTTTGACTCCTCTCATATTTCTGTTGCCGTTTCTTTCCTCAAATTTTTCCAATGAAACTTTGATGAAACTGTGCAATTTGATAAACTGTGCAAACGTGTGCAACTTCATAATGTAGGATTCAGCATTTGTTGATTTCCAGTAGATCTTTTTGACTCAAATTTATTGGCTCTTCTATTAGGCACTGTTTCTTTGTAGTGCCTAGTGTCCTGTATCTTTAGAATCTTCAAATGCATGTCCCTGCGTGCGTGCGCCTGTGTGTTGTTTATGTGCAATGCATGTTCCATTGGATGCAACTGTCTTGAATTTTTGTTGTTTGCAAAGTAATTCCACCAAGAACTGCAATGTGTCGTGTGGACAAGTGTAGTGACGATTTCTAGTTTCATACCAGTATCCTCTGTCTGTGGCCGTTGGTCCACTCTACATAACAGATGATGACTAAGGTTGTTTGAAGTAGCATTAGCCCCAGCCTCCAAGGACTTCATTTTAATTCAGAGCTTTTGGTGCTTTAGAAAATTAAAAACTAAAACAGGACCCGTTCCTATTGCGAAGCATAGGTACTAGAAACTGTAACTTTTGAATGAGTCACCATTGATGGTTTAGTTCTTTTTCTAGCATGGAAAAAGACAGAAAAAAGAAATCAATCATTTCACCAACAATTTTGTCCTTGTAAACTTTTTTCCACCCATATTCTTGAAGTATTTGATAAAGCTTGATTTTAACATTTATTTTTAAAGCCTCGTAAAAGCTTGAAAGAGTCTTCAGGCAGTCTTTGATGGATGCTTAGAGTTTGTATGTAGCAGTTCCCCGTAGTATAGCTAAGTATGTGTATTTAAGATACAGCTGATGAATGTTTCATCTTCACTCTTTTATAAGATTTTGGAAGGTAAACATTTCAAAATTCCCAATGCTAGAAGATATGCTACAATAATGGAAATCCCCAAAAAAATGAAAATAGCTTTTCAAGTGAAAGGATGGAGTTCTTGGTGTTTTTCTCGTATTTGGCAACATTTGTGAGGTCATGAACTCCAAACAACTCTGAAAGATGTCCAGTTCATCTGAAGAACTGAAGTTTATTTTTGGTATGAAAGTTCAGCATCTACACTCCTGAGCTAATTTCTTTTCTCTCGTTTTTTCATCGAATGTTTGTGATATTTCCGCAAATAAAGTCGGAGAACTTAGCCTTGAAAACAAGCCAAAGAACTGTGAACAAGACCAAAGAGGGAGGTTAGGTTTTTTTGTGGAAAAGAAAAAGATTATCTAGAATAGTTCTGCTTTTGTAAAAGTTTCGACGTCCATCTCATTTCCTTTAAAATTTTCTCCCTGTAGGTTAAAAGAGAAACATTGCTAAAGCCAATAATTTGTTTTATGGGAACATTAAGTATAAAAGACCATAGATATTAAAAATGATTTACCTAGATGAAAACAGTCATAATTAATTTGTTTTTCTTCTATATTTATTCTCTCCATCAATACCAATATCCTGGTTAAAAAATTGTTCAGTCATATCGATTGTAAAAAAGTCAATAAACTAAATTCCAAAGTACTTCAGCTCCAGTTTTCTTTCATGGTGCATTTCAGCGGTGAGACTACCAAAATATGTGTCCTGATTAAAACGTTTCAAAATTATCGCTCCCCCTTCTTTTTTGGGAGAGGGAGCGAGGGATCATTTCCAGACTATTTTATGTGAATCTCCAGAGAATGTTCTTGTTAGGGCGTAAACAAATCTAAAAAAATATAATGGTTAATGATGCATGAAAGAATAACGATAAACTGTCATACTCTGGAAGAATAAAATGGATTGCATTTTGCAAAAAGGAACCACTAGCATTGCAGTGATGCTAAGATTGTGCAACTTCATCTTTTGCCATAAAATTGTGGAAATCGTGAAAAACTATGAAATTTAGATGGTAATTTTTGTCCTAAATTTACAGTTTTTAGCGAGTAAAATAGAAACTATTATTGGATAATCGGGTTTTTCCTCCAAGACAAAAGAAGTTTCACCATCTTAGCAACATTGCAATGCTAGTGGTTCCTTTTTACAAAATGCAATCCAAATGTGACAAGCAATGTGATAAGTAGTATAGGAAATTGAGTTATAAGGCTTCCTCCTTTCAACAGTGATTTATTAAGTCATCAGAATTCCAGATAAAAAAAGTCTGCAGATAAAACACACCCTTAATGATGAAATTGTTTATTTTTTTTCAGGTGATAACAAGCCCATTTGGCAAGTTGCGGAAGAGAGGGAAGAGAACAAGCATCGTAATAGAGAAAATGTACCGTACGGTGAATATGGTGGATGGCATAAAGCTGCCAAAGTAGATTCTCCCACTATCACCACTACTTTGAAAAATCTGGGGGCTTTGTACAGACGGCAAGGTAAATTTGAAGCAGCTGAAACCCTAGAGGATTGTGCTCTTCGATCGCGAAAAGAGGTACGTAATCTTTGCTTCTTTTTTTTTTAACCAGAGCGAGTTTAGTGGTAATGAAATATAGATAAATTGATATGAAAGAAGGTCAACGATACGGAGTACTAGTAGAAGACCTATTGGTATTTTATGTTGCAGAAGGATTAAATTTATTTGCAGACTTAAAAATATCAGGTTTGATTTTTTAGCCATGAAGCTGTTAGAAAGATGGACTTGATAAAATTCATTCGCATACGATAACATTATCTTGCAGACACGTTTCAGGATCTGTCCTATCATCAGAGCATTAACTCATTAATTTACACAGAAAAATACTTATGCAAACCACTATATAAAAACAAGCATGTTGAGGTTACATTATTCAATAATGAGTTTTTATGAATATGAGGAAATGAAATTTTGATCAACAACTAGGTGACAAGTGTGAGTAGGGAAGAGAGTGCAAAGGTAGGTTTCATAAGCCAGCGAGTTAAACAATACAAGTGATACCAAATACTTCTCTTAAGATTACAAACTACAGCTTTTGTCAATGAAGGCGTTCCCACTGTTTTCATTGTCAACTTGAATATGGAGAAATTGTTTATTCATAATTAAATATTTCCTGATCTGAAGATTTTCATGGATTCTCAACAATTTCATGTTTGAGCTGGTGGATAGAATTTTAACATCCTCTAATTTACATATTCTATTATTTTCGACCGGTGCATTTTAATATTTGAAGTTCTTTGCTCAAGATGTTCTTTGTATCTACACTTCATACTCCGCTTAGATTTTCCTGTGTACTTAATATCACTATCCAGACATTGGATACTGTACTCATCTGGTTTATCAAGTTTACTTTACTTATTTGTCTTATGACAAAATGTATTGAAGGTTAATTTCAACAGCAACTTTGTATTCAACTTGCAAACACTGCAAAGTTTTAATTCATAAATTGAACCTTAAAGCTCCTATCAATGCCTACTTGCTAATATGATACCAGGCCTATGACTTTAATGTATCTCTTGGTCTTTACCCAAGAATTTTAGTATGTATATTGTTTATCCATGAAAGTAATATCTAAAATGAAAGGAAGGAACCTAATCTTATCAGAGAATCTCCAAGGATGACAAAAAGAGGATTTATAACTCAGTGTGCTGTAAAAGCGACTAATACACACATTCATACCTAATCCAGCAAAAGGCAACCACAAGTTGATCTGGCCTTGGTTGAAATTTTTACATTTAATTGCAATTTTTTTCTCATGCAATGGAAGGGATGTGATTCAAAATGGGGCAGTGGTAAGGAATTTTTGCCGGGTTGCGGCATAGTTAATACGAAGTAAAATCTCATGAAAAAACCTAAAAGTTTAATCAAAAGTTTAGAAATTTATTTCTACAGGGAGGAACAGCTAATCATAATCCAATAAATCAAAAACAGACTGCCAAGTTGATGTAGCAAGGCCTGAAGATGAGTTTATCCAATCAGCAAAGGCCCCACCTGGGTACGTTACCAGCACCTGCCAATAATATCGTTCCAAACAGGTCCCACTTTTGGTATTTTCAAAACAAAGTGTCTTTGCCATTTAGGGTTCAAAAAAATCTGAAAAAATTCCTAGAAGCTTTGTTCTTTCTGTACTTTCAGAAAATGAATTGAAAAAAATGAGAGTTTCATTGACCCATTGTCAGCAACAATTAGACTCAGTACATCTGTATTAATTAGACCCAATCTTTTATTTTCAGTCAATTGATATAACAAAACAAACGAAAGTGGCTCAAATTTTAAGTGGACTACGGGAAGGAGACAGAAGGATCGTGCGCTCTGCACGCTCGCGGGAGTCTCTGGATTCTGTTTCTTATGATAATGAAGAGGTATGTACTTAAATTCTCTTCCTATTTTACTGTAATTACATTAGAAATCAAAGAAATGAATATCAGACCAACTATTTCACTCTAACACAAACTGTAAGTAATGTTCTTGTCAGATTTATTATCCATTCCGAGCCTCTTGCTCATTGTGGCAACTTAAAGTGATTTTTTCAAATGATGCTGGGTCAAAACACCTGTTTTTTCTTTTTTGATGTAAGAAGAGCTCTACACCTACAAATGTAACCATCCTATTTTAACTGCTCCATGTTTTAGAGTTCCAAAAATTTTCTATTCAAAATATTTTTGTACAAAAATATATACCGTCTTGAAAACGTTATGAGCCAACCTTGTCCACGGCAAATTTCTGTCCTTCTGCTGCCCATTTATTTTGCAATTTGTTTATACTCTACACCGTTGACTGCTTTTGCACCAATTTCTTTAGCTTGCTTGGATATTTGTCTCCTTATTTTTTTTGTTGTAGATATTGCAACAGTTTTCTTCTTTGAAAATGGGTAGAGTTAAGTGAAACAACCACATCTATATAGCAATGTTTAAAGATCTCATCTCCTATTTCAATTTTTGGAAGAAAACCAACATTTTTTTTTTTTAAATTTTGTGGAAATAATCTCCACTTGTGCAAGAGAAGTGCATCAAATATTGAGTGGGTATGTTGGTTGGTGTCCTTCCTAAAAATTAAAATAAGAGATGAGGGTTGGAAACACTGCAATGTACATGCGACTTTTTTGGTTAACTTCATCCATTTATGAGGCATGGTGGTTGAAATTATTTGTTTTATCCTGTAAAGAATTAGCTCTCTCATTTATGGAGGGATCCTCAGTTAAAAGTTGTGGTTTTGTCTGTGTTGTTTTTGAAGTCTCTCTATTTTCTTTGATCGACTGTCTATCCTCAACCCTCTATTTTATCAATTTTTTGGGCTCCCCTCCTTTTTCTTGTTGATTCCAAGAATTGTGCGGATAGAGATTCCCATTCCGGTTAGATGTCATGTTCAGAATGCACATCAACAAAGAGAGAGCGATAGAAGTATCAAAACAAATTTTGGAAGCATCTGTTCTTCTTTTTCATAATAGTCATCAAAACATTTTTGTCCTCTCCTTTAAGTTTGCACCAAAAGTTTCTTGTGCGAAAAAAAGTGAGGACAAAATTCGAAGTTAATCATCTATTTTGAGGTTTCTGATTTATGTCCAAGACTGGTGTGTATTTTATTCTGCCAAATGTTAAAGAGCTTTTTAATATTGTGCAGTAAAACCAAAGGTTTGTTTCGATTTTTCACAAATTTTCAAAATTCACCATTGTGCCGATAAAATGAAGTTTTATCCATTTCTTTCAATGATCAAGCCCGAAATTATCGAAAAATTCAGCTCCTGTAGAGAGTGATTTAAATGAAGCAGGAACTTAACTTGGAAATGTTTAAAATTGAATTCAACTCATCAAATAAACGAAATAAAAGCAGACACATTTTGTCCTGATTGGAATCCGTCCTGAAGAGAAAGGGGACATGCGCCTTGTAAAGAGTGTGTTTATTTCGTTTATTTTCTAAGTTAAGTTTATTAATTTCAGTCCTACACATTTTTATGCTGCATTTTTGCCTTAATTTAACACGTGCAGTTTGCTACCTCGGTATTTTTGGTATTTCTGATTCCCGTTGTTACTAGAGATTGAAATGTCCTTAAAATCAGTTTGTGTGTTTTGATTCAATCTGAGATGTGGTGTGAACGAAGGTTGCTCTTCTAATCAGACTTGCGATGAAGTCAGTTCTCCCTTCAAAATTTTTAAAGTGAATATCGGTCAAGACATATTCGTCGTTTGATTTATTTACCAAGAAGCCTAAACGCCAAAATTTTGGGAGCCTTCAAATTCGTGTCAAATGAAGGAAACCAAAGTCCTTGAGGTTTCGTTAGAGGGCCCCTCATAGATACACAGTTTAATTAACTAAGCTCTTTCTGATTAGGTTTTTTATATCTGAATTTAAATTTTTGTTACCCCGCTTTTCATCCATAGTCTCACTCCAAGTAGGTTAGATCTAAAAAGAGTTTTTCTAACCGTTTAGAAAAATGTATAGCCATTTTATTAGAAGTTTATTTTCTTTTTAGAGTTGGTCTTGTCATGCAGATCAACCAAAGTAAATCAATTCTATGACTGAATTATTCTCAATCATATTGAATCTCTCATTAGGATGCAGACGTTGAAGGAACAAAAGTTTCAAAAGGAAAAGTAGGGAACTCTTGGAGAGTTTTGCCATTTTCCTGAAGATTCAACATAGCTCCTTTATAATTTATTATTTTAGATAAATTTATTTTTTCCTATTCATCCATGCTACTCTGTTCACTCCTCCACTGATTTGTTTTTCCTTGTGTGCAGAATGAAGTCCTTACGATGAAACCAACCACAACAGGAATAAGAAATAAACTTAACGCTATTCTAGGCCTAAACTCGTCTTCATGACATCTTCTCTCTTTATTGTTATCTTCACCAATCCTCCCCATTTTTTGTTGAGACTCTATTGTCCTCCCATCTTTTATTTTCTCTCAGTTAGTTTGTACCTTAGATCATCCAGTCGGTCAGGATCAAATTTAAAACATCAACCGTTAAATTATGTAGTTTAATTTTGTTTGTGCACTACGATATTTTGCCATTTTATCCAATCAAATTCAATTTGTTATTTTCATTCATGATGAAGAAGTTAGAAAACTGAGCCTCTTATTTTTTTGCATTTACAAATATTGTATCCTTAATTGATTTTTCTTTCCACCTTTCCCCCCTTTTTTTTACATCTTCAAATCAAAGAAATCAAGATTTTTTTAATCAAAACTATTCCACCCTACTATTATAAAGCTAATCATTTTGTTTTCGTATCCCTGTGATAATATTTATTACTTACTATTTTCTTCCCTGTTAAAACTAACGTATATTTGCATTATTTTTTGTCCTGAAAAGCTAATAGAAAGTTATTTTCTGATCAAGGCATCATTAATTCTATAATTTAGAAATATTGTAGTCTTTCCTCATCCATCATACTTTTGAAATAATATTTTATTGTGCTCTAGTGTACACATACTCGAATATTTTATCATTGCCTATTTATTTTTTTAAGCGTTAGAAGAGAAAAAAAATGAAGTTCTAAGGAGTATCTTACTTGGTTTAATCTCTTTAGTTTTGTAAGTCCCTAGCATGGATGGCCCTAGAAATTTCTCCTGACACCCTTTATTTTTTACCATATTTACTAGCTCTTGGATTCAAACAAATTTTTATTTTCGCTTTTTTTTCAAACTTTCCCCTGCTGATAATTCTTTCCAAATCCTCCATCTTTCTCTACTTTCTCGTATGCTAGCATTTTCTTCTATCTAAAATTGGAACAATGGGTCACTCCTTTATGTTTCTTAGCAGATCCTTTATGTAGTTTACCTTTATTTATCCGCTTGTTTAAAACGGAAGAGCTTGTTTTTAATTATCGGCTAATGTTTTTATTTATGTAAATTTGTGTCTCATAGCTTATGTTTCTGGTCATCTTATTAGTATGTAAAGAAAATTGTAGTTGTTCTTAAACTACATAGTTAGAATTTTCTTTATTTTTTTTTTATTTTATATTTTTTTTGCATTTTTTTTTGGTTCTTAGATCTATCTCAGATGATTATAGCTCCTCAAACGGGCAGAGGCTCCCTGTTAGAGGATGTTTTTTATTATTTTATTTTAAGTGGTCAAATTTCCCAGCAAGGATGCTCAATATTCATGAAGGCTATCAATTTGGTTTGGTATCCTCTTAAAGGCTTGCTTTTGTGCAGGTTTGGGACCACTCAAATCTCTCTACCTCTATTATTTTTCCTTGAGGGTGTCAAATCTAACTGTGAAGCATAATAGCAGGATGTGAAGTAGGACAATGGCCCTCCTTGTATTTGTGTGATAATATTTAATCTATAGCTGTCATGGTTAACAAACATTGCCAGCTGTCAGTACGTTAGTTAACCTAATACGTTTATTATTTTTTTTTTCTAAATAATATTACCAGGTGGCCTTTTGAACTGTTTCTTATTGTAAAAAATGGATCTTCTTCTTAAAATTAAGTTCATTCAGAAATTATTTATGATTCATTTGAGGTAGACTGAAAAGATAATGCAAATGAAACCGATGAATAGAGGTCTGAATGTTTTAATACTTGTGGTATCCAATAATGGAGATGAAATGTAAGGGTTTTAAATAGCTGCTCAGTTATTTGTCCTTATTTTTCTATTCAAGATGTCCAATGAAAAGGAGAAACACAAGCTGCATATTTTTCCAGCTGCACTATCATCTATCCTTATTCCTCTATTCCTTCCTTAACAATGGACATAGAAGGGTGGACAAGTAATTTATAGACGAGAGAGCACAAAAGTGGTTGAACATGTTGAGCATTTAATTATTGCTACTGAAAAATCTTTAAGCCCTCAGTTTTTTCAGCAGATCGAGAATCATAAGAGGAGATGAGAAAATTGTACCCATCATTTGGGACTTTATCTACAGCTTATGAAAAAGCTCTGCATATTATAATCTGTTGAGTCTGTAGAATCATTCTCCTACAAGGATAGCATGGTCAACCACTTCAAATGATCCTTACCTCTGTCGAACAATTCATGAGAAAGATTTTCCTCTCATAAATAAGTGGCTCTATGGAAGTAAAAGTCATTCAGAACGGCCCAATGCACCAAACTTCAGTCGTTCTTATTGTTTTTTAATCTCCTTCCGTTTTGTTGTCAATTCTGCAAGTATCCCTTCTTTTCAGATAGGGTTTCAGTAGTTTTTAGAATGCCTCTGTAAGAATGTAAAAGAGACATCGTCTACTGTACTCACATTACTAAAATCTACAGAATGATGGATCTTGATAACCTCACTTAAAGTCGTTTGAGTTTAAAGAACTCAATGGTGTCAGAAATACTGTTTATTACCCATCATCTTCTTAATTAATGTACTCTTTTTCTGAGTATGATCTGAGCATTTGATAAAAAACCTTCCTGTTAATATATCTACTCTCGCAAAAATGATTACCTAATACTCATTCATCTGCTTTTGATTCGGACTTTTCTGAACTAATTCTATCTTTTTATTAAAATTTTGTTTTCATTTCAATTCTATTTTTTTATTATTTCCTCATCTGCACTCAACAGTTTTCCAATCAAATTTGTTTCAAATTTTCCGATTTTTTTTCTAATTATTATTTGATATAATGTCGTACCTCCACTTTTAGCATATTACAAGGTGATCCAGGTTTCGGAGGTTTTTACCAAATTTTTTTTTTTTAAAATTTTAGAAATAATCAGTTGGTCAACTGAATCGTTGCTGTAACAGCTGTAGATTTTCTTTAATAATGACTGACTGTCAAGAGCTTGGCATAATTTAATTTTATTTACTGAGCGAATTCGGTCATAGAAATCTCCAATACCAAAATAGTCACCTACAGCTGTCAGGAAAACTATCAAGGGGGTCTTCCAAACATTTTTACACTGAAAATTGCTACACTTTCTGTTATCAATGCCTACCTCAGAAACAGCATCATGAACAGTGAAAAAAAAAAAAAATTTGTCATCTGTCTCAAAATCTTCAAATAACAAAAAATTCAAAATTTTAAGTCTGAGGAATTTGAAATGTCAGCAATGCCATAGCCTTTGAATTCTGTAGTGAGCAAGCAACACTTTTGAGATTGCAGTGAATAAGCCAGTCAAAAATATATTCATTTGTTTGATGTAAGTTGTTCTGTGAATACTTAATTCTTGAGATTTTACTCGAAAAAATCAGTACAATTTACTAAAATTTTAGTCCGGGAACTTCTTGCTTTCCATTTTTTTATGTAGAACTATTTGATCAGTTTATCCTTTACCATAACTCTTCCAAATGAGTTGCAAAAAAACGATTTTTACACATCAAAACGATTGTTCCTTCCCAGTTGAATTTTTTTTCAAACAATTTTTTAAACTCCAAAATTTGATGAAATGATCTACTGTACATACGACTTTTTCTAAGAAACCAGTTTCCGTTTGAGTGATGTTTGATAGCAGGTAACCTATGAGAGGCTCTCAACATTTAGCTTACAATCATTAGTTCACCAGGTTTTTATCGCTATCCCCAGTGATTTTACTTCAAAGTTTGTAAATATGAAAATTTTCTTCTCTGTATTTCAGGAGACAATTAAAGTAATCCATATTCTTTATTGATGAAAAACTCATGATATTTTTAAAGTATGTACGAGACACCAACTTAATAGACAAATTAAATGTGTAAATTTGAACTATGCCAATGTTTTAATATCCTTTCATGGATATTAGCATGGAGTTGTCTTACTGTGTAAAAATACCACTTGAAATCCTTTTTTCTATTGGTAGAGATACTAGCTTTTTTGCAAAGTCAATGGTAAGGACAAATAGAACATTTGAAACGCCGAAAGCTCGAAGTTATTTGAATGGGCCTGTTGCAAACTTTTGCTAGAGCAAAAATAAGAGTTGTTTCTTATAGATAATGCCTCAGAAATCACGATGAGCGCATCGGCAAAGTCTGAAATGCACTCATAACTTCACAATCTGCGTA